CCGCTGCCCCTGGCTTCCTCGGAGCCGGCGCCGAGTTTGTGTCGAGAAACCCTCCAGCAGGGGCGGGGGGGGGCAGAGCGGCTCTCCCACGAGACACGAATCCCGACACCCCCCGAGACTTAAGTTAGTCCGGGGGCCCCCGACCCCCCCCCATGCACGAAGCTAAGCACCTAAGTCCTGGCCTGTGGGTAAATTCGCTGGCTGCAGAATGGGTCTTTTGGGGGGGTTTCAGGTCTGAAAATAATATCCCGTCTTTCCCCCGCCGCCCAGCTGTGTCCGGCTGGGACAGACCCGTGGCCCTAGTTGTGATGGCGTTGGTGCTGTTGGCACGTATTGGAGAGGGATGGCGAACTGCCGCAGCAGGCTAGCCTAGCCACAGCCAAAGACACAGCAGGGTTAGCAGAGGGTGGGTGAAGGCGTCGATTTCCATCCCCTCCACCTCTTGAAGTGACGGATCGATATGTGCCCACCGCCCTGTTGCTCTTCTCCATTGTAGGGCCGCTGGCTGTAGTGAGGGAGTTAATTTTAGGTGCGCAGCGGGGTGATTTATTTTCTGTTTTCTCTTCCAGAAAGACCACACGTCGCGCAATAATGGAGGGAACCCGACAGACTAGAATCTCTCGCCCGCACAAAATAAGCGAATCCTCAAAGGTTTGTGAACTTAAATCTCTCTCGCTGCGACCTGTAACCAACAGTGATTTCTCTTGGAAAAATGAAAAAAGCGGTGAGATCCCGTCCCTCTCCCCAGTTAAGAGCTGGGAAGAACAGGAGTGAAACAAGTTGATATTTAGCTGCGAGGTTCATGGTAATAGAGTACATTCGCCGTTTATGCAAATGCAGCTTTATTTTAAGAATTGCAATGGGAAGACTAGCTATTGTTCAGAGAGGTACAAACCATAAAAAAAAACCCAGCGCGCCATCACAACGGGATAGCTTCTCTGAACTGGGATTCTCTGGTAACTCAAATAGTGGAGATTTGGGTTTTTTTGGGAATTTATATACGAATTTCTAACCTCTTACAGTTTCTTTTAAATTTATACACCAATTTCTAGCCTCTTACAGTTTCTTTTAAATTTATACACCAATTTCTAGCCTCTTACAGTTTCTTTTAAATTTATACACCAATTTCTAGCCTCTTACAGTTTCTTTTAAATTTATACACCAATTTCTAGCCTCTTACAGTTTCTTTTAAATTTATACACCAATTTCTAGCCTCTTACAGTTTCTTTTAAATTTATACACCAATTTCTAGCCTCTTACAGTTTCTTTTAAATTTATACACCAATTTCTAGCCTCTTACAGTTTCTTTTAAATTTATACACCA